ATAACAGTTTTTCTCTTCGTTACGATTTAATTAAAGTTTAGAACTTCGATTAATTTCGATTAACCACTAAAATTTTTAACTACCCCAATGGCACCCAGACAATTTCTGCTATCATGTAGATCTTGTATAATATTTAATATTGATATACTGATAAAAATAATACTGTATATTTTAAAAGCTCACAATATGTACATTAATTTTATTATTGTAAAATATGTAATTTATCAATATCTCTATTGAAAATAAAAGTTTTATTTTTATTTTTATAGAATATATTTAATAACTTTTATACTTTACGTATGATTTTGTTTTTCTTTTTTCAAAATAACCCCATTCTTGTAAAAGATGCTAATTTGAAAGTTTCGATAATATCATAATTAAACTTCAGCAAAGAAAAGCGTTAATCCACAAAAATATTTTAGTAACTTCTTTAATAATAGATTTATTATAGCTAGTTAAAGAATTTGAATAATGATTGCTGTAATTTTTAAGTTCCATTCAAAAACATCGTATGGTGGTTATGATCTTTCCATGTTCGTGGATTTGTTGTTCTTCTCCTATATGCTTCAATATCCATTATCATTTTTTGTAACCCTGCAAAGCTGCTTTTTACAGATTTTGCCCATCTATAATTTTGTTTTAATCTTTGCTCTTGAACGATTTTAAGTGCTTTAGTAAGATATAATTCGTAATCTTGATATAAATCGTCTAAATCATTCTCGATATTTTCATTATCTTCTAACCCTTCAATATTTTCAATAGTTACTATATTTTGTTGATTTTCTTTATCTTGCTCAATATTGATCATTAAATTTGTGATATCTTGAAAAGATCTTGATACTATAATTTAAATAATTACCATTATACATTAATTAAGATTATTACATATATATTTTATTTAATATATATATGGTCAAATATTACCTTCTAAACTTGGTAAAAAAATAAACGGATATTTTCCTTGGTGCTGAACTTGACGAAAAAATTCCAAATTTGTATTAAATTCACAATTTTGAACAAGGTGTTTACAAATAAAGAATCGACTTAATAAAAAAGATTCGCAATTGCATATCCATCGTTTAGTATCTACAAAGTAGGTATTATTAATATTTTTTTTACAAAGTGATTGCCATTCTGACTTAAAATTTTTCGCCATGACTCTTTTTCTCTTCCATTCAAGTATTTCTGATATTGTTCTTGACAATGTGGAATAATTCGTGAAATAATAATATAAACTAAGAGATTGATGCGTGAACGAAAAAATTTGGGCAAGTAGTCACGCTTAATCATTTTCCAATGCGATTCAATAAGCATTGTCATACGTAATATACAAATTTCAGTTAAAATTGAAGAACGTTCCAAAGAACCCACATATTTTTTGATACCAGTAGGTCCACAAATAAGCCCATAAATATTTTAAATCATTATCGACGCATAAATAATATATTTCATAAACTGCAGATTCCCAAATTTGTTGATCTGATAAAAAATTTCTATTATTATCTGGAATAAGTAAATGTAAATGAAAATGTTTATTCATAGTCTCAATAATAATAGACCGTAAATCTTTCGAACAAAAAATAAAGTTATATTTTTTTTGTTCTTTTTTGGATAAATCTGGTAAAAGGGGGTAGAATTCCCTATCAATAAAATTGAATACATCATGAGCATCATTCGAGCTATAATTAATCGTTTTTGGTAATGTATTATCAGAAAGCCACTTTTTGATAGCCTTTTTTAAGTGCCACAAGCAAATTTGCACTTTTACATTTGGCCAGGTTGATCGTGTGGCAAAAATTTGACTAAAATCCTTGTCCGTTAAAAAAAAAACAATGTTGTCCATTCTGAGTGTTTTAAGTTTTTGAAAAAAATACTCTAAAATATTTGTGCTGCACCATTATCTTTTTTTTGCCATCGATAAACAAATAAGCCATCGCGAATCCAGCACCATCAACTTGTCCAATTATTGAATAAAGCTCGAAATCCAATGCATTTATTTGATCTTTAATTTAAATAATTAAATTAATATAAAATTATATTTATTTATTGGCTTTAAATTATACTTACATGTCG